CCTTCCTTCCTTCCTTCCTTCCTTCCTTCCTTCCTTCCTTCCTTCCTTCCTTTTGACAGAGTTTCGCTCTTATTGCCTAGGCTGGAGTACAATGGTTCGATCTCGGCTCATTGCACCCTCTGCCTCCCTGGTTCAAGCGATTCTCCGGCCTCAGCCTCCAGAGTAGCTGGGATTACAGGTGCCCGCTACCACGCCCAGCTAATTTTTTGTATTTTTAGTAGAGGCAGGGTTTCACCATGTTGGCCAGGCTGATCCTAAACTCCTGACCTCAGGCGATCAGGCTACTTTGGCCTCCCAAAGTGCTAGGATTACAGGCAGTAGCCACTGTCCCCAGGCCTCCAGATCTTTTTAATACAACCCAATTCATCACTCTGGAAGATTTGGTGTCTTCTCTTTTTCCATTATGTTCAATTTGTTCATTTTTCCTGATGGATACCCAGTGAGCATTTCAATCTGAGACTCAGTTTTGAGTTCTTCAATTCTGAGAAATTCTATTGATTTATTCCTTCAGTAATGTTCTAACTGCCATTTTTTCTGTGCAGTCCCTTACTAGAACTCCTTTTTTGTTGGATTTTTGACTATCAGGACTAAATTTCCAATTTTCACTTCTCTTCTATTTTCCATTTTTGTCACCCTACTCCTTGTGCTCTAATTTTGGGGAGATTTCCTTGACGTTGTCCTCTGAGCCTTCTATTAAACTACTACAATTTCATGTCTTATAGTTCTAAGATCTGCACACTTTTTGGGTTAGTGATTATTTTTTCTTATTTCATGGATGCAAAATCTTTTCTTCTTTCTCTGACCATGTTCATTATGTATATTTAACACCCTTTCACCCTCGTTTCAGTCTTGTCATCTTTTTCTCTGAATAATTCTTTTTGTTGTTGTTGTTCTGTTCTTTATGTTGGAGGATTTTTTTCTCAGGTGTCTGCTGATCCCTGGGCTTCCATTTAAAAACACTGTAATATGGATTTGCGGGACCAAGTGCATCAGTAAGACATAGAACCAGTGAGCATCACTGAAGGGCAATTCAGAACTGAGCTGTATTTTTAATTGGAACACCCCAAATATCAGTATCAACAGCTTTATACTCTGGAGTGATTAAATTCTTTTCAGAGAGGGACTATCTAGTCTCTCACCAGGAATGTAAAGGTAATAATTAAAATCTGCCTGCTTTTACTTAATCCTCCTTCTTCAGTATGTCCCCTGACTCTGTCCTCTTTTGGGTCTGATGTCTGGGATGTAGAGTCTTTCAAGGTTAATATTTCTGGGCAAAATAAAACACAAAAAACAAACCTATTTTATTTACAATTTGGGGAAGGGTAATAATTAAGGACGTGTGGGTGGAGACTTGAGCTTCAAGACATCTTAAGAATTACATTGGCCCCCAACCCCTGCCTTTTTAGCCTCTTGTCTTACCTCCACCTTCTTCAGAGTGAATATGAGGTGTCTCCATCTCTATTTTTTTCTGGGTCTCTCTGGGGTGAATCACTAGCTTCTCATTGCTGTCTGCCTCTAGAGGTTTAAGCTCTCTCTGCTTAGCAAGTTAGTGACTGCTTCTTCACCGACTTCCATCTTCTAAACCTATTAACATCTTTTGTCTTTTTAGTCTTTTTGTTCTTTGGGGTTTATAGCCTTTTATTGCTTTACTGTCATTGCAGTGTCATTTCAGGAGCAGGAACAGAAGCACACAAGTTCTTAATTTATCATGTTTAGCTATTTAAAAAGGCAATTCTCATTGTGCCACTATTTAAAACTTTCCTGTGGCTTCCAATTGTGCTTTGGATTTATTGAATACCTTCAGCGTGGTCTGTAAAGCCTTACTGACCTGACTTCTGTCTGTCTTCTTTATTGTTTTCTGAGTTGACCATGTACTTTCTTTTCATCCTCAATTTCTCCTTTGCAGCACAAATCATAAAG